ATTTCGACAAATTTCACTTGTAATTATCATTCCTTCCAATTCGATTAAATGAATTTTTGGTGGATATTGTGATTAATCAAACACACACGTGGTAAAAAAAAAAAGCATGCACTCAACACAAAATTTTTCCATTTGTCCCAAATGGGCAATATAGTCTGATTGTTCGATTACTAATCAAATGGTAACATTCTTGTCATGGCGAATTTCTTTCTCTAGGCCTGTTTGGATGGTGATTAACACTTGAAATACTGAACTAGCACGGCTAATATTTCAGATGAAACTGATCGTGTTAAATCTCTTTGCTGAAATTACACATTTTACATAAACATGAAAATGAGGATTACAAGCCTAATCAGGTTATCTGTAGAAATATTTCAATATCGTTGACGATATAAATCTGTTTATTTCTTTATCCATTCGACGAAATCATTAAGATTCTTGCTAGGTTTACCTCCTCTTAAACTACTCATCATTAGTTCCTTAAGATGCAGAGCTCTTTCTTTGAAAGTATTGTCACCAAGTAGTTGATGGATCTTGTTTTTGATTTCTTCACAGGTGATTATCCCACTTGCGTCTTGTTCAAATTGCAGTCCGACTTTCCAGATATCGCAAATGTAGCTCTGGTTAATGAACTGATCAGCAAAGTAAGGCCAGCAGATTATTGGGACGCCGTTGCTCACGCTTTCTATTGTTGAGTTCCAACCACAGTGACTTAAGAAGCAAGCAGTTGAAGGATGACTTAAGACTTTCTGCTGTGGTGCCCAGCCTATCATTTTCCCTTGGGTCGATACTCGGTCCAAGAATCCTTCAGGGAAAGCCTCGGTTGCCCCATTTGTGTAGTCTGGTCGGATGACCCATAGGAATGGCTTATTGGTGAGCTCAAGTGCTAGAGCTAATTCATGAAATTGAAGTTTGTTAAAAACAGTAAAACTGCCAAATGCAACATATATGACTGAGAAGGGTGGCTGCTGGTCGAGCCATTTTAAGCAATCAGAGTCCTCCCTCCAGAAGTGGCCAGCTGAATTTCCTAGCCGCGTGCTTGCTAGAAGGGGGCCAATGGGAACTATTTCTGGAGCCAAGGTGAATGCTCCTGGCTCGAGATCATATGTCGAGTTGCATATCAGCCAATCTGCTGATTTCACTGCTTCGTTGTTTTGTATCATAAGGTCGAAAATTAGTTTCCTCATCGTCAAGTTTTGGAAACGTGTCCAGACGAAGTCTAATGTACTCATGATAGGCATGGCTGGAGCAAACTGAAACTTCTGGTTCTGTTTTGGAGTTCCTGCAGTGAACAGTGTCTTTAGTCCCCCTTTTAACTTCTTTTTCTTCATTAATCATAGTATTATTCAGTATTGTACAATATATATTACCAAACAAGCTATTACAAAATAAAGAGAAGCTAAAATCTTGTGCAATATCTTGCCCGTAATTACATACCATATATATGCCCTTTATGATGATTCTTGCTAGTAAATTATTTCAGATTTACCACAGATCACCTCATCTCCCAAATTGGATTCAGTATATGCTAGTTAGATACTGCAGCAGGTTAAGCTATAATAACCTCTTACTTGTTTAGTTGTTTATGCTAGGCCATAAACAATTTTTCCTGTGCATATTCCTCTATAATAAATTTTTTAGTTTCTGAAATTCTGAAAAAAAAATAATAATAATAATTAATAATAAAATACCTGTTGCAACTGCCTAACTCAACTATATTGAACTTCTTGTTTATCACACACTCAACATCAGAATTTGTGTAAAAACTTATCTCAGTGGCATTTATCTGTTGCAGTAGAGTTAAAATCCTCTGTAAGTATATCTCACCTTCATTGTCAATTATTCCGTCATCAATTAGCTTCGGAATTCTAAATCCCAAAACTAACGACGCTGCTGCTGCAGGTAAGAAGGCTGCCCGTCGAATTCCCATATTCTTAGCAACTTCCTGTGCCCAACCAAGGCTCTGATCAGCAATAACACAGGTGATCTTTTCATCCTCTGATATGTTCATTTCTTGTATTAGCTCCACAATTTTCCTTGGCGTAACCTTGTAGACTGCCTCAGTCAATTTACCGGGCACATTCCTATCGTCTGATTCAAGTCCATCCGGAATCGAAACCAGATAAATTCGATCTCCTAGTACATCTCTTCCGGATAATGAATTTATGATAAGATTATGAGTACTCTCTGTGTTTACAAATGAGATTTTGATGTTTTCATTGGCTAAACATTGTGCCAGTTCCATTAGAGGAATTACATGGCCTTGTACTGGATATGGTATCATCAGAACATGTGGTTGGTCCATTCTTGTTTGCTATGTGGCGGATTGCTAATGTAGATTTATAGTTTGAAGTTATATTTGGTAATGGTGTTTAATTGAAGCTTGTGGGACTGCTGGTGGCCTTTGCAATCAAGAAATAATTGTTTTTCGATCTTGGAATTGACTTTGCAAGTGTAGAAGGCTGTTGACAATGAGAACTTTTTTGTATTTAATTTTTCGTAAGTGGTCCATTTGACAACTCATTTGCACATTAGAATCATTATTGGTGGGGCTTATTATGATTTAAAGAAGGCATATTATATATTTCAATCTTGAAATTGACTTGGTAAGTACAAAAAGCCGTATGTATAGGTAGAAAGCTTCTATAAAGTCGACTAATTAGATTATTTTGAGCTTCATTGTTATTGAGAAGCAATTCATTACGACCCTTTTGCACATCAGTCATAATTGGTGGATGCAAATTATGCTTTGAAAAACCCAACAGCTCAATAGATGGCACCTTTCGTTTTCTCTCTTAATCCTATTCTTCTCAACGCTACTCAACGAGCGCTAACCATTGGTGCTTGGTTGATGAAACGGTGGACTCTCTAACACTATTTATTAATGGTAGCTTGTGGGACTGACTGCTGCACCTACTTGGTTCATTATCTCGTCTACTAGCTCTTAGAGCCTTTTCCGGTGGCATCATCATCTACCAGTGTGATTAAGACCAAAAAGCATATTTTATGAGACTGTTCTTAAATATTTATAAATAAAAATGTTCATTATGTTATCATGTTTTAAAGTCAATAATCTATTATTGTTTTCCCTTTGTCTTTATCTAATATTTAAGATTTGTGGGCTACTCATTATTTGTTTTTACTGAAAAAAAAAAAAAAAATTGAAAGAAAAATGTTTTAAATATATTGTTGTTGTTGACAGATTGAAACCATATAATTAAGAAATGTATTTATGCTGAAATCATTTTGCAGGATTGAGAAGACGAGAATGCTTTATATTTTCCTTCTTTCATTATTGCATAATTCCAACTGAATTAATTAATTGAAAAGAAGTGAATTGAATTAGACATGTCTAATTTCTTGTGTTTGGATAGAGTTTAGTCTTTTTGGATAGTGATAATTACACAAAACCATAATTTTAAAGTTTCAATTTCAAATTTTCGATATAAACTTTATTTATACAAAAATTAGATATTAATTCATCTATTTTATCTATCTTCTATCTCTAAATCATCATTACCCAAACCTAAAACCCTAATTTTATTCTTCTTCTTCTCTCTCTCTCTCTCTCCCTCCCTCCCTAGCACAGTCGCTGTCGGAGACACAGCAAAGCTCGTCACTGTTGCGACCGTCACTGTTGTGAACAGTAGCGTCGCGAACTCTTCCCCTCATCTCTCTCTCTTCATCGCTCTCTCTCATGTCTCTCCCCCCTCCCCCCCTCCCCTTGCCCCCTCTCAACCTTACCTCACCACCTCTCAACCTTTCCCCACCACCTCCTCCACAACCAGAATATCACATACCATGGTTCCAACCACCATCCTCAATATTTTCTGCCCAGGCCTTCCCACACACTATCCCACAGCCCATATACCCCTCGCAGCCATTCCAAATTCTACAAAAACCATCTCCCCCGAACCTATCCCAATATAAACCAATCCACACCAAACCATATCACCGGAGAGCCATGGAGGTTCGTAGGAAACCTTTTCGTATTGATTCCAAACTATTCACGTTGGGCTTTGATGGAGGCAGGGCAGATTCATACCATATAATGGAGACCAAAGGTCGTTTCCAAGGGTCCGTTTGGCTCGGTATTAAAGGGTTGCAATGGACTTTAGGAGAGTTGAGGAAGTTGCAACACGATTCACCGGCTCGGAGTGGTATTTTCCAATTTCGGAGAGAAGGATATAGAACTCTGGAATTTAGCTGCTTATCGAATCGGGGTGGAAGATTTGTGGAACTATCAGAATATCATGGGGGAAAACAGAGAGGTAGTATTAGGATTCCGGAAGGTCGGCGTGGACAGGGTTGGACCCACTTCGTGAACGAGATTCAGGAATATTACCTGGATTCTGAATCTGCCAAAGCTCCGCCGAAACGAGATGAAAAACCCAGGGTTGACCGTCTGCCGGCGCCGGAAACCCAGTCACTTCGTAACGGCAGGAGGCAAGAATCGCGGCAATTACGAAGAGAAAATCTGCAATTGGCGCCGCAAATCAAGCAACGAGAATCTCGGGATTTAGGACGGGTAACTGAAGTTAAGAATCGGGTCACCATCTCCACAACGGAGCCCCGCCCGACCCGGTCCTTTAAATTTCAGTGGAGATTGGGCCCAAGATCAATTCGCATTACTAAGGTAGAGGGACAGGCCCGTAGTGCTAAATGGGTTGACTCCCAAAATGGTGATGGGCCTCTCTGTGGTCCACATATTGACCCACCAGAGGTCCATCGTGAGTGTACGGAGCCCCATTTTGAACCGGAAGTTGACGAAGTGGAGGATGGGGAGATCGTAACGGGTGTTGACTTCGGAGATCAAGCCGATGTGGAGATCGGTGGAGACATCGTTAAAGGGGTGTCGCCGGGTGAAGCGACGGAGGATCCGATCTACGCACCACCGGTGGTGGAGGAACCGAGAGACATCACGGACCTTGCTCTGGTACGGGTGGATTTGGCGGAGGAGATCCAAGTTACGGCGCAGATCTCTGAACCCGGATGTTTTACCCAAGAGGAAGCCGGTTCTTGGCTACCGGTGCTGGAGAGTCAGGACCAAATTGAGGTGGTTCATGGAGAGACGGAACCTCTCTCTCCCATGATCTGTGATCCGTTGGCAGTGATTGCACCACCCATGATCACGGTTGCTCCTGGTAAGCCTGATTCAGATCGGTCTACCTGGGTGAACCAACATTATCGGGGTTTGTGTGAATTAGTGGGTTTTCCTTTGGATAGTCATGAGAAGCAATGTTTGGCTCTGTTGAGGAGGATTGAGGCATCTAGGTCCCGAAACAAAAGTGCAATATGCCCACGAAAACTTTGTTCGGGTATAAAAGGTGCTCGTGAGCTTCGTAACCTGGTGTCAACTGTGAATTATGAAGGTAGGCAGCGTGAGTGCTGCTGAGACCAGAGGTAAGTTGCTTGGGCCCTTTGTTTTTGTATGAAGCTCAAACTTGTATCTTGGAATGTCAGGGGTTTGAACGATCCTAGGAAGAGGGGGATCCTCAAGAACTGGTTGCGTAAATGGAAGGTGGATGTGGTGTGTTTGCAGGAAACAAAGTTGGACAAGGTGGATTGGAGAATTATCCAAAGCATCTGGGGTAATCGTTTCGCTGATTGGGTTTCTCTGGACGCTGTCAACACAGCAGGGGGGGTCCTTCTTCTTTGGGATAAGCGAGTGTTAGAGTTAGCTGACTCGATTGTAGGTAAATTTTCTGTCTCCTGTTTGTGGAAGGGTTTGCTGGATGGTTTTGATTGGGTGGGTTCGGGCTTGTACGGTCCGACCCGTGATGAGATTCGTCCTGAATTTTGGAATGAAATGAAGGGGATTCGTCAACGCTGGGCTCAGCCTTGGTGTGTATTTGGGGATTTCAACGTTGTTCGATATCCTAATGAGAGGTTAGGGTGTAGCAGACTAACTGCAAACATGATGGACTTCTCGGACTGTATTGAAGATATGAACTTGGTGGATCTTCCTTTGCATGGGGGTAGGTATACTTGGTGTAATGGGTCGATCAACCCATCAATGTCTCGGATTGATAGAGTTCTGGTTTCAACGGATTGGGAGGAGCATTATCCAGATGTTATGCAGAAATTACTAATCAAACCTATTTCAGATCATACTCCTATTTTGCTGGAAGTGGGAGGTATGAATGGGGGTAAGAGGGCTTTTAAATTTGAGAATATGTGGTTGAAAGATCCAGATTTCGTTAATAAGGTGAGGGGGTGGTGGTCTTCATATTCTTTTAGGGGTACACCCAGTTATGTGTTATCTCAAAAAATGAAGGCTCTCAAGGAGGATTTGAAGGTGTGGAATAAGCAAGTGTTTGGGGATGTGGGTTTAAGGAGGCAGCAGCTGGAATGTGACTTGCAAGCTTTTGATGAAAAGGAAGGTACTAGTTTTTTGACCTCTGAGGAACATGTCTTGCGTGAGGCATGCAAATCAGAATTGGAAAAATTAGCTATCTTGGAGGAAGTTTCTTGGCGGCAAAAGTCGCGGGTCCTTTGGTTGAAGGAGGGAGACAACAACACAAAATTCTTTCATCAGATGGCTAATTCTCATAGACGTAATAATTATATGGAAAGGGTGGAGGTGGATGGTACTGTCTATGAGGTTGAGTCGGAGGTGAAACAGAAGGTGGTTCAGTTCTATACCTCCTTGTATCAGGAACAGGAGTCATGGAGACCTACGGTTGATGGGTTAGAATTTGACATGATCTCGGAGGAGGAGCAAGCCTTGTTGGAAAGGAAATTTGACAGGGAGGAAGTTTTACAGGTGGTCAAGGATCTCCAAGGGGATAAAGCTCCTGGACCGGACGGTTTCACCATGGCATTCTTTCAAAAATGCTGGTCTGTGATAGAAGAGGACATGATGGGATTCTTTGAGGAGGTTCACACTTATTGCAAATTCGAGAGATCTCTTAATGCCTCGTTCATTGCTCTTATCCCTAAGAAGCAGAATGCTTCTAATATTCGGGACTTCCGTCCCATTAGTCTCATTGGCAGTGTCTACAAGATCCTCTCTAAGGTGTTGGCCAATCGTCTTAAAGGAGTGCTTGATCAGCTAATTTCAGAATCTCAAAATTCTTTTATTGAAGGCAGGAAGATTTTGGACTCGGTTCTAATTGCGAATGAATGCCTGGATAGCCGTCTTAAGAGCCGCCATCCAGGTATTATTTGCAAGTTGGACATTGAAAAGGCCTATGACCATGTCCACTGGGGTAGCTTGTTGTATCTTCTGAAGCGGATGGGCTTTGGGCTTAAATGGTGTCAATGGATTGAAGCTTGCATATCTTCGGTGCAGTTCTCAGTTCT